ACCTTCTGTTTCTGCAAGCCCACAGCATTTTCCTGCTAACCAAGCCGACACAGCTCCTAGCTCTCTGCTGGCTCAGATGTCCATCAGCCCGAATCTAACCCCAGCTCCTCAACCTCAGCCTCCTCCAGCTTCAGACTCCCAGACCTCAGACACAGAGTCTGTGGCTATGATGAGCCCAGTTTCATTGGTCAGACAGATGTCAATTTCTGCATCCTGCTCCAGCCCCGGCCCTAGTCCCACATCTTTCACATCCCACCCCGCCCCTGCCTCAGAATCCCAGAACTCTGATACTGACTCCGTACACATGATGAGCCCAGTGTCACCTTGCAGGCAGATGTCCATCGACTACCCTGAATTTGACGTTCCCCCTAGTCCCCCAGTGCCAGGCAAGGGCGCCAAGCTCGGCCAGGTGAGACCCGTGTCCTCGCAATCATTGTCTTTCTCGTCGTACATCCCTCCCTCTCTACATGTACACCTCACCCCATACCAGTACCCGACCCCATATGCATTCAAATGTCTTGAGTCTCGCATGCCTGGCACGTCAGCAAAACTGCTTTGAATGCATGAAAAGGTGAATAGAATTTTAACTGGTAGTCAGCGACTGCAATTTTGTGTTGCTTGGCAGTGTTGATAAAAGTATTCATAACATTGTTTGTTTTTTTTACAGGATGGAGTGTCGAGCACCATTTCTCAGCCTGCAAGTGAGTGCAATGCCAATGTCGACCGTGGTACTCAGACCTCTTCTGACCCTCTTCAGGGACCCCTGCACTTTCCAAATGCAGGTCCGATCCACGAGTCCAGAGTAGGAGCCACTACTCATCTCTTCAGCCACCTGCCTTTGCACTCCCAACAGCCCCCTCGTTCCCCATACAGCATGGTACCTGTGGGTGGAATTCAGCTTGTTCCTGCTGGCTTGGCTGCTTACTCCACATTTGTACCCATTCAGGCTGGGCCAGTCCAGCTAACCATCCCAGCACTCAGCGTTATTCACCGGCAGACTGGCAGCCCTCTTCCAGCCCCAAATACCTCACCCCGGCCAGATGGTTCTCCGACCCAGCCGCTGGTAGTCCAGGAGCCAGTCAGTAGTGTACTGCCTTGTTTCCCTCTGGGCCAAGTGGCAGGGCTTCAGACACTTGGTGCTCCCCAGACTGCCCTGCAGCCTATGGGTTTGGAGACCTTGAGTGTTGTGGGTTTAGCCAACTCCACCCAGCTGGTGCCTCAACAGAGTCTGCCATTAAATGCCACCCTAGGGGTGCAGGTGTTGGCAGCTAGCCCCACCCCTCAGTGCAGCACTGCTTCCCCAGCACAAATCCCTGGCCTGCAGTTTCTCAATATTGCACTGCCCGCCCTTATACCATCCCTAAGCCCTCTCTCAGCTCTCAGCCCACTCCCTGCAGCCCAGGACAAGCCACGTAGCCCTGGGGGTGTAGCGCCTGCACCTCCACCAGCACAGGTTGCAGAATCACTACCAGCAACTATTCCCTCAGCCAGTCATTCAACAGCCAATCCAGGAGATGATCCTACAAAAGCAAAGCCATCCATAGAGGCGAAGCAGGTCTCTCAAAACAGCACTAGCGCTGGATCTAAGGATACAGGGCGCACAGAGAAGACTACAGCCATGGTGGAAAAACCAAAAACACCACCACAACCATCTTCGTTCTCCTCCCACTCATCCTCTAATGAGAAAGGCTGTGATCTTGCACACAAGGCAACAGCAGGTGGGGCTAGTGAAGTGAAACCACGTCAACCTGTCTCTAGACAAACAGTGACTGATGACTACAATGAAGCCTCCAGCGATGATGAGGACAGACTTGTCATAGCTACCTGAGAGTCCCAATAAAAGCTCTTTCTTTTCTGCCTATGAATTTCTCTCTTTCTCTTTCCACCTCTTTCTCCCTCTTTTTTTGTAAAACTGTGTCACTTTGTAAAACTGAAACACTTCAGGAGGTTTGCAGCTCTGCAAGCCTTCTCTAAAAGCACATTTTCTGACAGTCATATTGTATGTGCAATCATAAATGATGACCAATTATTTTATTTTGTACTCTTTTGTCAGCACCAGACAGTTATTTTCTTTTTGTACATGTTGTATAGACAATTGTGCCTTTTGGAGTTTCACGTTTAGAAACCTGTATATAATATCTTATAAATCTAGTAGTTGCCTATTAAGTTGATATGGAAATTAAAGAAGAATAGATGAAATTTGTTTTATTTTTAAATGTTTTCATTTTGAAAAGTTTTATGTCTATCGTAAATTGATGGGGAAATTAATGTTGTACTGATATATAAACATTTCTATGGCTTTTGGGGGTCAGTGTTCCTGTGCACAGATGTTGTGGTCAAGTATTTATTATATTACACCTGGTGCCCATTTTGAACTCCATAAGTCCATAGGTATGAGTAAAATGGTGGCTTTACATTTGCTGTATCTATAATATCGACAGTATCAGTAAAACCTTGTTTACAAGTGCAGAAACGCCTCTGAAGTCTCCTTTTTTCTTTTTTAACCGGTGTAATTACCTATCTGATTTGCTGTCTTTTTCTCCTTTAATGAACCAGTAGAAAGGGTTGTTCCTGGGGCTCTCCAAGGCACTAGAATTATTCAGCAGTTCAAATCACTAATGAGGAGCTTGGAGAGGGCAGCAAATGACGTCACCAATCAGCTCCTTTACGAGGATTATTGACTGTGACATTGTCCTTGCCTCAAGAGGCTTGTAGCAAAAGCTCTCATTACAGCCCCGGAATGACTCATTCAATTGACAGTATTTTCTGTCTGCCAAGACTGTGAATCAGTAGCGTCACCTGCTGGACGGGTTGTGTCTCTGCAGGCAAAGCAGAGGAGTACAGGGTGCATCATGCAGGAAGGTGGGGTGGGGGAATATGTTGCTTAGTTACCCAGCCCACAGAAGAACATAAGTGTGGGTGAGACTCTCTGGAAACAGTTTTGAACATTCAGTCAGTCCAAACCTAGTGAATTTAGTCAAAGTGAGAGTAGAACATCAGAATCCCTTGTGTACACTATACTTTTCTGCATCCAATAGAAATGGCATTCCATGATTTGACTATAATCTAAATCAAACATTCCACTTCATTCTGACCAGAATTTTTTACTTTCATTGGTAAATTTGCTGACCTCAATGCATGTTTACAATAAAGGAATGCATGTTTACATCAGTGCTGTTTCTATATATGTGTATATATATATAAAAGAACAGGTATCATCGTTACGACCTGTATGTACAGGTAAGGCTTAACCTTGACTATGAGTGCAATGTCAGAATATTTGGAAAACTACTGTATTCATGCCACCCTTGCCTGAGGAGAGCTCAGAGCAACATTGAAAAACAGAACTGCATATTTCCATAATTGTCCTTAATGCAGCATCCATATGCATCTGATCTTAATAGATTGCTTTTATTGTTGTCTTAATTCTCTGTCTTAGATGGAACAGGCATGAACAAGCTACAAGTGGAGTCTTCATGCTGTAAAGGGACAGTTCAGCCAAAAAAGAAAATTCTGTCATTGATTAGGCTACTCACCCTCATGTCGTTCTAAACCTGTAAGACTTTCGTTCATCTTCGGAACACAAATGAGGAACTTTTTGATGAAATCTGAGAGCTTTCTGTACTCTTCAGTGGCAGCTTTGCAACTACCACTTTGATGCTTCAAAAAGTTAATAAAGAGATCGTAAAACTAGGCCTAAATGAATCGAGTGGTTTAGTCCTGAAGAGACATGATCGCTTTATATGATGAACATTAAATTTAGGCTTTTATTCACATAAACATTGATTAGCGAACATAAATAGAAGCTCAACCGAACTTGCTTGATGCGTGAGAGCAAACCTCTTGCATAGAGCTGCATAGAGAATGAAACTCATTGGTTCTCGCATATCAAGTGAACATGCTTGAGCTTCCGTTTATCATAACTGATGTGGGAGTTTATGAATAAAAGTCTAAATTCAATTCAATGTAAATCTTATAGAGCAATCCTTGTCTCTTCAGAAAATTTGGACAAAACCGGATTCGTTTTACGATCTCGAAGCATCAAAGTGGTAGTTGCATAGCTGCCAATGGAGGGACAGAAATCTTTCAGATTTCATCAAACAGATCTTCATTTGTCTTCCGAAAATAAACAAAAGTCTTACTGGTATGGAACGACATGAGGGTGAGAAATTATTGACAGAATTTTCATTTTTGGGTGAACTATCCCTTTAATACATTTTTGGAGCGGGTGGATGAGGGTTGGGTGATTAATTGTGAGCACAAACTGGCATGAGTTTCCATTAACAGGGTTTTCCATTGGGCAGGTACAGAGCTGGAGGCTAAAGTTTCTGAACTGCTGCTGCTAGTATCATTCACCCATTTAGTGAGACCTTTTAAACGGGATTCAGGGAAAACCAAATGATTCTAAATTACTCTTGTAAATCTGAAGCTGTGAAGATTATTTTTATCTCATTGATATATTCATGTAAATTACAATAACAACGAACAAATATTTGAATGTAAATGTAATGAAATTACTATAGTGGTGAATCTCGGCCTGTTTTGGGAGTTGTTATGTGTTTTGTAATTGATTTACTAGTTGAAAAGTTTTTTTTACTAGTTAAATTGTGCTGAAAAGCTAGCAGGTTCAACTTACCCCGCCCATACAGAGTTCTCCAGTAGCGGGATTTTGTTTTCACGACATATTTAGGGAGCTATTTTTTTTCTGGGCAATATCTACGAAAATGTTTTTTTTATTTATTTATTTTTTATTCAGACTTGAAATTTCGCATACAAGACGAACATTTTGATAGCCTACCGAGAAACATTCCGTAAAACGTAACTAACCCTGACCTACCCTATATGAATATATAATACAAAGAATTTGAAGAATATTACTTACATTTATTAGTCAGAATACGAATAGTCACATTTCTCCTGACTTTTTGTGTTGGGAACCTCTTTTGACGTCTCAGTATATTTGTGCGCGTAGTATGTACTCGCGCGCCCTCTACTGCCCTGTATGAAAACTACTCGTCTAAGTCATCTTTCTTACCATAAAAACTTGGCACCGAACGACCGCCCGGCGTCTCCATCCCGCTGGAATCCCCAGGAATACAAAGTTCTTATCTCGCTCCACACGTTGCTTGTCTGTGACTATTAACAAACAGCATTGTGTTCGCGTGAGTGAGCGGGCGGGAGGCGGAGAGCGCGAGTATATAAGCGCTCCTGTACTAGAGAGAGCTCGAGACTCTAGAATGATGCATTGAGAAGACCGCAGCTTAAATCTGAAGATTTGTTACTGTTTGCGAATTTATTTGGACTATCACCGTTTGTGCTACACCAGGGACTTGCATAAGATTAAATAAAATGGATTTGAGGATTATATTTCCAGTGTTGTCTATGCTGTCATCTGGGATTTTTGACTTTGGTATGTACTTATGTTAAGTGTATTTATACCCAATATTTGTGGTAAATATTATTTGACTACTTTTTAAATAGTTTACTCTATTACTGAAAAAGTTTTTTAACTATTAAACAAGCTGGAATGTGTAGTAGGCTATACATACAGAAAAGTGCAGGTATCTAGATATAATAAAGTATTAGTACTACATGACGTTGCTTAAACAACATAAACACATGCAAGATACAGTTTTAATATTCTTGTAGGCAGCATATGTTGAGCATCAATGCCATGTTAATTGAGCATGACAAATTCCAGATTTTCCAGTCCATCAAGCATATAGGTTGTGCAACTTAAAAGTGTAAAATCGCAGTGCATGTTTTGTAGGTGGAAATCTTTATGAAGTAAAAGCTTATGAATTCAACATAATTTTATGATTTTAGCTGCTCCAGCATCTTTGGGTCATGGCACAGAACCAGGCACGTCAATCTCTGCACACCACTCCAGGACTAAGAGATGCTCCTGTGCGAGTTTTATGGATAAAGAGTGCGTCTACTTTTGCCACCTGGACATAATATGGGTCAACACACCAGAGTAAGTCATAAAGTGCATATACTATCAAATCTAAATATAGATCTAATAAATATAGAAAATATGAGCAATGACTTTATAATCATGACTCTATAAATCATTATTTAATGATTGAAACCTCATGCTTATTGCATGACTACATTTGTTTTCTAATCATTTTTTGTTTCCCCCTAGGCGAACAGTGTCATACGGACTTGGAAACGCTCCACGGAAGAAGCGCTCAGTCACGGAACCTGTTGTGCCCAAGTCTCGCTGCAAATGTGCAGATAGCAAAGACAAAACATGCTCTTCATTCTGTCAACCGAACAATGCGATACGGTAAGTACGCACTGAATGCAAATAAGGTGAACATTGTCATAGTTCAAAGCCAGATATTTTTAATCTAAAGAGCAATTTCAAGGACACCAGACTTACTGGTTAAGAAATATTTTGGGACACGCTTGTTTTCTCAAGCATGTATAGCAATCTCAGTATTAACGTACAGGCATACAATCTGTCACTACATGACTTGACAAACTTGCAGAAACAGGTTTCATTTCTATTTGTGGACTTTTATCAAACTCGTTCAGGAATTGACTGCTGAACTTTCTTTCTTAGGTATAAAGACAAGGCAATCCATGCCTCCCAGGGCCACGATTGTGCCGAGAAGCGATGCAAACACAAGCTGGCAGTCAAACAGACAAAGATTAGACGGTAAGACAAACCACATTTAAGAAATAATTGGGTGCTTTAATTACAGCCTCTGTAAGATTGATGTCTCTTGTGGCTGCGATTTTCATGACAGATATATAAGCACGTTAACTTTGAATGTAAATCGTTTTTCAAAGACTGAAGGATTTTACCTTCAGTATGTTCAGATTATGTTTTTATTATATTATTAGAGATTATTTCAGGAAATCTTACATTTCAGTCAAATTTTAACCCTGAATTCTCAAAGCACCTGATTTCAGTTGTACAACTAATGCTTGCCAGGGAAATCTGGTCAGGGGCACCACCTGTGTTTGCTGTGAAATTGACCTCATTGCTTTCTTTTTCTATAGGGTAAAAAACACAGAAGAGATTGGAGATGTCCTCTCCAGGGCGAGGGCCGTCAAGAACATCCATCTTCTCCTGGAGAAGTGGCGAGTGAGGCAGCGCCACAGGCCACGAGCGAGGATGACTGAAAACTCTTCCTCGTAGAGCTCAACCTCAGCTTTTGAGCTTCGCTGATCCACTACAGGATTTTCCTGAATTATGAAGCTCCTCTCTGCTCATTCATTGCACATGTCATGCATTTGCCAGGTGTGTTGGAATACCTGCGGATGCAACCGTCTTGGATTGCGGTGTTTGTCACGTGGTCTCCATCCTCGGGGAGAGTCAGCATCAGTGTGGAGCTCAACGGGAAGAAGAATCAAACCTCCGATGGAGATGGTGACTGAAACAAACCGAACCTCAAATTATCAAGACTAACCTCTACCAACTTTTCTGATCTAGAACTTTTGGTCCATGGGATAATTAGTCGGAGAAGCCACTCCAAATAAATAAAGACTTTGCATTGAAGATACTTGTTGCACAGGAGGAATATGCTAAATGAAACTGTGGACTCCAGAAACCCAAAGCGGTGTGTGTGTGTGTGTGTGTGTGTGTGTGTGTGATGCCCATCCAGCCACTACAAGCCAAAGATTCTGGTGGAAGAACGGCTCTGGTTCTTGTTACTGGACTTTATACACTGTAAAACAATGAAGCTCTGCAATTGTGTCAATGCATCAATGGAAATGTTATTTTTCACATTTATGTTAAATATCTTTAATTCAGCCATATTGGCTAAAAAGATTTGTCTTAATGTTATTATTTCTATGAAATGACAATATTTAATTGCCATTTTTGTGGTAACCGTTTTTAATTAATAATAAATATGTGGCATTATTTAAGCGACTTCAGTTGTTTGTGAATTTTCCTGTTAACTTTGTTTAAAATTCCAGTGAAATGCATCATTTAATTTGCGCCAATGATAAGTTCATAAAATGTCATCATGTGCTCCAACTAACGAAAATGTACTAAAAAGTACCATGGTATAATACTTAACCATTTCAATTTCTCAATACCATAGTATACAGTATATACTGTAAAAGTGCCATGTACCATATTACCATGCTGTACCATGGTGCTGCCAAGTTTTTGAGAGCAGACTTTGGGCCAATTTTGCCTTTTAAAATGATACGTTTATGAGCAAAAGTATTAAAGATTTTTGTTATAAGAGACAATAAAACAACTGTGCATCAAAAGCACTCCTTTCAGGCTCATTTATTTTTTTAACTTGAATCAAATATGCGACTGAGGTCAAACACGTCATTCTAACATGTAATTTATTTAAGCCACAAAATAAACTTCATTCAGTAAAATAAGTATAACGAACTACGCAAAAAACATTTCGAACATCTCCAGCACATTTTATAATCACCCAAAAACCAAACATATTTAACCCCTTGAGCACAGTATCACGTCCGTCAAAAACTATAGGCTGGCTGTCGGTTGGAATATTAGCACTAAAAACATTGTCACACTCATGGGAATCAATCCCTTCACTGAATACTTGCTGGCTAAGAAATAAATAATTATTACCTGAGATCCATCTGTTTTCAAATCCACAATTTAAACATCACAACATTGTTGTCTGTCAAAAAATAATGTGCACAATACATGGTAGTATTTATGAGAAGCAGATTTCTAGAGAGTACGTATACGCAATCCCTGGAAAACCCACACTACCGGATGTTTTGACTACGTCATTGCTCTCCGGGAAGAGGGAGAAAATGCGGAGTGAGCGGCTTCATCATGCTGTCTGTCAGAGACGCTAACGTGCAAAATACATAACGCACGCAAGTATAAATTTGTTCTTCACTCGCTGAAATTGAATCGGAATGATCAGGGAACTGAGTGAAATACGTCACCCTGCGTGCTAAAGAGAATAAACGCCAATCCAGTTGAAAAACTTCGCCGGGTTAGTGAACATCGTTCAACGTGTTGGTTCCTGACGGAAACAAGAAGTTGTACGTTATATTTTGACAGAGATTTTTTTTTCTGATTTGAATATTTTCAATAATTTTCTATTCTTGTCTGATCTTTTTTTTCATAGTTTTGTCAAAAGATGAACTGTTAAATGAGGGATCTTGAGACGAGTCCCTGTAGTCGTCCAATTTGAGTCTCATTGTCGATGTAATACTAAAAACTTGACAGTATTCTACTACATTTTATAAAAATCACCTGTTCTAATTGTCGATGTAATACTAAAAACTTGACAGTATTCTACTACATTTTATAAAAATCACCTGTTCTAATTGTCGATGTAATACTAAAAACTTGACAGTATTCTACTACATTTTATAAAAATCACCTGTTCTAATTGTCGATGTAATACTAAAAACTTGACAGTATTTTACTACATTTTATAAAAATCACCTGTTCTAATTGTCGATGTAATACTAAAAACTTGACAGTATTCTACTACATTTTATAAAAATCACCTGTTCTAAGTTGTTTAAAAGATTAAGGAAATTATCAAAGTTTTAATAAAATGTTGTTTAAACTTCCAATAAATGATGATACATTTTTACACGATTTGTTACTTTTAATTACCACAGCAGATTATATATAATATATTGGTAAGCTACAACAAAAACAACTTATATAGAGTGTTCTTATATGCACTATTTATTAAGTTAATTACATTTGGCTTTATTTACACCTACAAACATCCATAAAAGTTTATTATATTGTTGATAAGACTCCATTCACATTCACATTGCATTCCTTTATTACAGGAGCCTCAGAAAAGACATAAGAAAATATACCCTGCAGGGAATTTCCGATAGATGCTTTTGATTTGCCTGTCTTTGTCCATACGTGTAGAAGAGAGCAAGAGAAAGAGATATTCCAGGATCCTCTAAAGTCGAGCACAAAGGCTGCCTCTCCTCCTGAGGTGTGCACTTTTTCGCACGCGGGTCTCCAGGGGCCGGGGAAACTGGCGTAGGTCATTGGAGCTTGAATAGAGCTTGAGCACAAATAATAGCCCATTATGGCACAAGGAATCTCCTCGAACCGACAGGCATTCAGCGCATATGGAGCGAACAATGGAAGATACTCTGGGAGGGGCGGACACTCCTCGGGCTTCTGACGTCTCCGCGTGCTGCCGGGGTCACCGCCCTGAGCTACCTTCACACACACACTCACACACATGCAAACAATGCATCTACCTTGCTTAGACACACACATATAATAGCACAAAACATTGACGCAAACATGGACCAAATTCCAGCGATGTCCCGGGACTGATTTGAAGTTGTTCCATCTCAGTCTCATCACTCATCATCTCAGAGCTAGACGGTCATATGAGAGTTGAGTGATGGGATCACTGCTTGTTGAATGAGTGCTGATCAGTGTTTTAAATGATCTAGGCTTGTCTTTTTCACTCATAAAAGTTCTAATTATGTTTAATATGGCTCATGGAGAGCAAATTGCACTCATACAGGTGAGCTGACTCACTAATCCTTCTCCGCCAGGTGTAGAGATGACGGCAGATGTGCTGTATGATACATTGGGTCTGTTGCAAAACCAAAGTAGGCAGCATTGCCATATGAGAAAAGATAACTACCTTGTTATCATGTTTGGGTCAAATTTGAAGGCAGCATTACATGAATTAGGCAAGCCCAGAATGCAGTGAGCACATTTATCCATAGATGGCAAATATTCAATATTTAAATGAATGATTTATTAAACTAAACCGCTCAATTCATATGGATAGTTTTACCATCTCTTTTTGAAGCGTCAAAGTGGTAGTTGCGTAGCTGTCAATGGAGGGACAGAAAGCTCTCAGATTTCATTAAAAATATCTTCATTTGTGTTTCAAAGATGAACGTAAGTCTTACGGGTTTGGAAAGACATGAGGGTGAGAAATTAATGATAGTGAATTTTTGAGTGAATAACCAATTACCCATTAACCCATACTAACTTCAAACTCGATTGCGAGTCAATATTATATTTGTGGCATGCAGAGACTTTTACATCAGTCACTTATGAGGTTACATTACGTTTTTTAAAGAAGTCTCTTCTGCTCACCAAGGCTGCATACAGTAAAAATTGTATTTTGAAATATTATTACAATTTAAAATGACTGTTTTCTACTTGAATCTGTGTTGAAGTTTCAATGCGATGCAAATACTGAATTTCCAGCATCATTACTCCAGTCTTCAGTGTCACGTGATCCTTCAGAAATCATTCTAATATGATAATTTGCTGCTGATACCAAAGACATTTTACTGATACCAAACTTTTGAACGGTGGTGTGGCTTGTAGGCTTTGAACCAGCTTTCATTTCAGGAATCAGCATAGACTTCATTCTTTTCTTTTTCGCGTCTTGTCATCCTAATCCAGCTTTCTCTGTGGTAAACACACTTTTCAGACACACACACACACACACACACACACCTCTAAGCCTCCAGTCATCTCTGTCAGCGACAAAACAACATCAGAAAGCTATTATGGAAGATCCCCAAAACATTCTCAAAATTCTTTTTTGACAGACAGCAATTTGCAAATGTCTAATGAGCTCAGATGTACGTACTTGTGCTTGTCTATATGAAAATTTGACACAACAGATGGCAGGACATTTCATGCCATGAGGGCTTTTATAGTCTCACCTTTTGACTATTTACATAACGTTTTTTTTTTCCTTATCCAGATTTTGGAAAAGTACTGATCACATGACGGTTGAGTTTGCAGTCTTTGACACGAGCCAGTCCACATGCGGTTTTTGCAAATCTATTAAAGAAACTGAGATATGATCCACATACACAGAGTTGAACGTCATATTCTTTCAGAGAATAATCTTCATACAAAATACTAAATAGTAAAAGTGCTCTTCCTTCTTACATATCTCCAGTAAAACTCATCACACAATATACTAACTTTTTAAAGACTTTATTTTATTACCCACTAGCTTATTCACTTAACTAGTAAGTATTACAGAGACTTAAAAAAAATAAGATATAGTGCCGAGGAGACTTGATATAACATGCATGAAAACACTGTGATTTTCAGATCAGATCCGTTTGTTGACACTGCCAGGAAAGCATCACATAGTTTTACCCAGAAGCAGAAAGTGAAATTACACTGTCTATTTTACCAGAACAAAATGGTGTAAGTTTCATATTTCACTTGAAGATGGTGGAAAAACAGAAGGAAAAAAAATAATAATTCAGAAATTGGTCGTAAATTTCACAAAGAATTACAAAGAAACGTTAAGTAACACAAACATGAAATTTGAAAGTAGAAAAAAAAAATTCTCTTGTAAAACATGCATAGTAATTTTTACACAATGTATGTACCTTAAAGGAGTAGTTCACTTAAAAAAAAAAAAACTTTTGCTGATAATTAACCCCCATGTCATCCAAGATGTCTTTCTTTCTTCAGTCGAAAAGAAATTTCTTCAGAATCTTTTTTCGAGTCATTTCGTTCATTCAACGAACAAAATG